CCCCAAAACCCCAAAACCCCAAAACCCCAAAACCCCACTAAGCATTTAGTAGTAAAAAAGCTGAGAATTAAATTTTAAGCAATTAAGTTGTTTTGAATAGGAATAATCTCTTGAAGAAATTCTATGATCAATTATAACCATAGTAGTATGGGTAGGGATATGCCTGGTAGTATGGATATTATTAGACATTAAGGTGATTGTTGAGATTGAAATTGTTTAAGGATCCGCTGTTAGCAATACCCATATTATTAGTGAAGTCAGCTCCTCTGTTAGTAATTCCAATGTCGTTTCTAGATCCCTTATTATTCAAGTTGAATTAGGATGAGAATTTGTCTCCTCTATTTTAAATACCAATGTCATTTAGAGAACCTTAGTTGTTCATTTTAAAGTTTTTGGAGAATTTATCTCCATTGTTACTAATACCAATATTGTTAAGAGAGCCCTTATTGTTCAAGTTGAAATCTTTTGAGAACTTATCACCATTATTGGTAATGCCAATATTATTATGATTTCCTGAGTTATTAATGTCTACTCCTTTGGCGAATTTTCCTCCTTCGTTATCAATACCGATGTTATTGTTACCACCCTTATTTTTAATGTTAACATCCTTCGAGAACTATCCACCACCATTCTTGATTAGGATATCATTATGTCCTCCAGTGTTTTCAAATTTGAATGAGTTTGAGAAGTCATCTTCAGCATCATTTTATTTTCCACCATTGCCAAAGCTGAAAGCATTTCCATTCCCTGAATTCTTGAAATCAATGTTTTTGCCAAACATTGAGCCTGAAGACTTCTTGGTTGAAGATCCTTCATTATTTGCAATCTCTATATTGTTTGAAGATCCACTGTTATCGAAATGGAAGTTATCAGCGAAGTTAGCTACACTCAAATCATCAAATACAGGGGATTCAGGTCTTTAAATATATCCTTGGACATTGACATTTCCATTTTCTGTGATTGTGAATTTGTTTTTGTCACCATTGTTCCTGATATTGACATCTTTGGCGAAGTTACCTCCTGAGCTTCTCTTCTTTCCCTTTTTATGATGAGGTCTTTCATTATTTGAAATATTGATAGTATTTTTATCTCCCATGTTGTCGAAAGTAAATGATCCAGCGAAATCTTAAACAGAGAGTTCTTATGTTTAGAAACTTTTGGCAATATTCTTAAGTTCCATGATATCTTGGTCAAGGATTCTTACTTTTTCTTTAAGTAGTTGCAAATCACTTGAAGGTAAAGGTGTCATTGCTGTAGTAGTTCCAATTAATGCAGTTGCTGCAATTGCAATATATGATTTCATGCTAGAAGATATCTTAAGTTTTAAGGTTATATTATAACTTTTACTCTCTCTTTTATAGTTAAATTAATTATAAATAATATAAGCAAAAATATCCAATAATTATTCTAAAAATATTAATCTATCTATCTTCTAGAAATCTTAAGACTTGGGGTTTTGGGGTTTTGGGGTTTTGGGGAGATCGGAAGAGCGTCGTGTAGGG